AGCAAGCAAGGGAAATGTTTCGTGACCGAATTATCTCTCGAAAAGGTGATGGCAATTGCGTCTCTTCCGTGGAGACCGTGAAAGATAAGGTCTACATGCCAACATCGATTCAAGACTTCAAAGATAGAATTCATGAAGCTATTGAGGGTGATGGAAAATTTCATGAAATGGATGCGGTCCTGTAAATCGCAAAGTTAAGGTTAAACTTATGCACACCTATAGTAATCAAGTAAACTTGATCACAATTGTAGATGATTCTGTTCCATTTGGTATTCGTTGAAATTTTCTAGAAATGATTAATAAGAATCATGCTCGAAGGCCAGTGTTCGAGTCGTGGTGCAACCAACATCAAAAATTGCAGAAAACTAATTCTACTAACTGCGGGCGCTGTTCGGCAGGAAATGTAGAACCCTCTAAGTCTATTTTCGACATGAAGTTAAAAGTTCCTCACAAAATAGGAGATAATGCTAATTTAATGCTAATTTAGGTGCTAGCAATTCTAATTATATATACTCGTATATGCAAGTAATTTGCGCTTTGTTACCGCTGAGGCGATTTTTCGGCCGAGCTCCTCTCCAATTTGTGGTTGCTTATTCGTAGCCGCCTCCGAACGAATGATGAGTTTTTTAGTTCATATCAGAAATACGCTCGGAGAGCCTGACACTCTCTGCCGAAGGGTGACCGCAGTTAAAAAAATAATTTTTCTGTAATTTCGTATCTTGATCGAAACAGGACTCGAACGCTAGCCTTAGGCTGCAACTACCCAACGCGCGTACCAGCCGTCCATAGTAACCTATATTATGAGAGCGCCATGTAAACACAAAGTTGTCACCGATTTCCCATAGCGCTGCTGACGTTTGTGTCGCAGAAACCAACGAAGTTTTGATTTTTTCCGTAAAACCGGCTCGGCTCCTTTTTCGTTGCTATACAAGGTTGCCAGTATAGCCTTTCTTAAAGTAACATTAAATAATCGAAGATAATGCGTAGTTTTGTTCAAAAGAAATGAAAAATAAATGCGTAACTAATTATTTGTTACCATATAGATCATGTATATTTGCCTTGCGTTTATGTTCAAGCAAATAAATTATGAAATTCGTTGACGAAAATTATGAATTTGTGCAAAAGTGTGCAAACACACAGGCAGCTGGCAACATTTCTCCGCTCTCAGCGGCGTCGATAACTCGTGTATGTATTTCACTACTGACGTCGTCAGTTATGGACGGCTGGTGAGTGAAATGGGTAGTTGCAGCCTTAGGAAGATCTGTACGCAATGCTAACCACTCAGCTATTGCGGCAATTCTACAAAACGAATTATTTGAGTACCGGAATTTCGTTAGAAACGAGCATAGGAAGAATCTTTAGCAGAAACAGTTAGAACTGTTAATTGTCGAAGAAATATAATTAAAATCTAAAGAATCTAAAATTCAACCAAAACAAGGTTGAAAGTCCTTGTCCAAGGTTATGTTAAATAATATCCTTGAATTTATTCATAGAAATGTTTGGCTCTTAATAGAGTTAAAATTCCATTGCTCCTTTTCCACTATAAATTTATTGGGTGATGCTTAGGGGCGAGCTCCGGGTGAAAAATTTGGAGATGGTGCGCGGTGGCCATTCCATTTGTTACGATTGAAATTCATTTATATTTAACTCTCAAAATTTGTGGTGCTGTTAAGCGTATAAGCAAGCTAACATGCAAGATGTCGAGCGTCGTATCAAGCACCTCTAGCATCAAAAAGACACTTTAAGTTTATTGCTTCATTGTCTCCCTGAGAATTGCCCTTATGCTTATAAGCATGCATGCGTATGTACACATGTATATCTATATATGCGTAAGTACAATACATCAAATGAAAGGAAGCAAAAAGCTAATGCCTAAAAGTATGTTAGTGGCAAGTAAGATTAAACAACAAACATGGTTTGTTAACAGGCGAACATGAGCATGTCTCAAAAAACTACTTCATTAAACTAAGCGGTTTCAGATAAGGAAAGTTCAAGTGGTCTAATCGTAAATCATCTTGTTAGGATCGGACCCCAAGATTCTCTTAATCAATTTGAATTTTATTTCGGTTCAGCCGTTATGAACTCGGGAAAAACTATGAATTACTTAAGGGTTCCTCATTGAGCGAGATTGCATATGTACTAAAAATTAACCACTTGTCTCATTCTGAGAGTTATCTTTTCGCCCACTTGGAGGCCAAAAATCTTTTCTGCATAATTAATTGAAAAGACAATTGTCAAATGCAAAGAAATGGAATCCGTATATGCACGGGCTTGCCGCCCAAGAAAACTTCTGCTTAAGTCAACGAATCATGCCGCCTATCGGGTTATTTAATGGACCAAGCCAATCAAATATCTGCGCGGTGACCCTTCGCCAACTTCCACACCTTAGAAACGATTTTTTTCGAATAGATCGGTCCTTGACAAGGTCTATAGAATACGACAACCGTTTACGTCACCGAACCAACTTCGTCATATATACAGTGGGGGAGATTTGATATTATATACATACTTTTTTTTCAAAAGGTTTATGTATGTAAATATGGGGAAAAAGGCTTATAGCCAGCGATTTGGTGCCAAATGAAACCAGGTCGCTCACTAGCAGACCCATTCACTTCGCTTATTTAACAAGTCTGGACAGAGCATAACTAACGGCGCGGTTGTTAAGGCCTATGATATCGATATCATCGGCATACGTCACTAGTTGTATCTTGTCTATTTAGCTCTGCAGCTTTAAATAAATCACCGTGGAAAGAGTCACCCTGTCTGAAACCTCGTTTGGAATCGAACGACTCGGAGATGTGCCTTCCAAGCCCCCGTACTGTAGAAGGCTGCTTCAAAATCGATGAAAAGTTGATGTGTATCGATTCATGTTTCACGGGTCTTTTCCAAGATTTGGTGCATGGTAAATATCTGGTCAATTACCAGGTCCAAAGCCACACTAATAAGGTCCAATCAATTTGTTGGCGATACGCTTCAGTCTTTCACTCAAAACCCTCGATAGGACTTCACATGCGATATTTACGAGGCTAATCCCACGATTATAAGTGCGAACTGTGGGCAATGACTATTAGAACCTCGACCTGATCGACTAAGTTTTTCCATCTGGAGACAGCCAAGTAGCTTGGTGAACTTTTTGGTGTGTGGGCGGGGTATGGGCACAAATCGGCGTTGCGTTGAAAAATTTCCTTTTGGTACAGATTGTGGAGAGACATTCATCCGCGGGAGTGAATGCCAGTCTCTCTCCCACCACAAATCCGTCACCAAATTTGTGCTCCTTTCCCCCCGTCGATGTTACTTACTTACTTTCTTTACTGGCGGAGCTCTTCCTCTTCCTCTGCTTCAAGAGGCGGGTACTGCATCGAAAATGATGTTAGTCTGTAATTTAACGAGGACATCAACTAGCGGCACCTTCCCAATTAAAAGAGCGGACCTGGTGCCTTCCCTCAAATCGTGGTATTTAAAACATTTGCTCATCCGAAGCTTTTTATGATTTTTCATTGGAGTTTATTTTTCATGTGGTGGATGCGGAACCTTATGCACAACCGCGGGGGATTCGTCTCCTCACTTTAGCGCGCTTACAAAGGGATATTTGTTTGCTACACAGAGGATATTTTGCTTAAGGTCGGAAGGCGTAAGTTGTTGGAATCAAATGCAAAGTATTCGTTTCTGGCCACTCCCAGGTGAATGGAAGCCAAAAACTTTCCCCACTTGCGTCAATTGAAAAATATAAATGAGCATGAAATATCGTCTCACGAGATTATGTATGGGACGGAAGAATTATGTAATGCAACAATAAATACCAGAGAAAAAAAAAAACGTTCTCCAGATGTCGGGCTATAATATCTTTTTTCCTTCTAATTGTGCCCAGCTACTCAGAAATCACACAGGAAGGACTTAATAATTAATTTTGAGCTTAATTTTCTCACAGGGCAGAGACAAAAATGCTGTAATAGTAATCTTTCGATTCTCAGGAAGGTAAAGGGAGGGTTGGAATACTTATTTTTATCAGCGGCACAGTATTTCTGGTGGTACAGTCTCATTTGCACGTCTTCTGCACAATCGTCGCCGCTACGATCACGTTTGAAGTCCCTTTAGTCAATAATAATATTTTTTACCCAAAATTACCTTTACAATATTTATCCCATTCTCGGCGAAAAGAATTCATAATATCTTTACAAAGCACCTATGGCCTTAAATCCAATATTTCTTTTCAATTGCCTAAATTATGTTCTAAAAATCGCCCTGTGAAAATGCGAGCTCCCAACTTTCCTCATTTTCTCGACACGACGAGAGAAATCTTCCACCAGAAGTTTATGTTCAGAGTCAAAATATGTACATACATATCTTCAGATATAAGTGATCATAAATGCATTATAAGGTTATTATGAAAAGTGTCCACCTAATATATGTATGAAGGAAAGCGTATGCCTGGGGACTACACTTGAAAGCCATTTACTCTGGTATCCAATACAAATGTTCGAGATTGCACCCACAAATGTGCCACAGTCCGCGATCTTTTGTAAATTATTTCACATTAATATACAATTTTTTCAACATCAGTTAGTATTTATTTGATAACATTGACTGCACAATTGATGCAAGTACAATCGGTATTATAATACATACAAATTTATCAGGAATACGCTATGTATGTGTAACTCTTTAATTTACAAATATATCTACTTATGTACATATATACAACATATAACATATCAACATATCGTTCGTTTTTATACTTAAAACTCTCTGTGTAATAATCAATGTATACGTGAGCAAAGAAACCGTTAACAAATGTCATTGGGATCTAATACATTATTCCTAAACTCTAATTTATGCTATTTAATGACGTTGGCGTGAAAACATTTCTTTAAAACTGTATTATATAAATTAATATCACAAAGGAGCTCACGAAATGAGCCCAAAAAGTTAAAATGGAAGCAGCTTTGTTTTCGAAAAATAATTGCCACATTAAATTAAAAATACCCGAAAAAATGCCTTGATCATTTACTGACACCTGGAACACGTGCTGATTGGTAACGTCCACTCTCGTTACCACTCAAATTATTGTGTCTTGCCGCACCATCACCTGCAACTGGGCCGTTTGGCGTCACCTGGTCACTCTCTTTATCTTGGTGAGCAGTCATGTGGCGTGTGAGATGATGCCGTTCGCGGAATGTCTCCTGGCAAACAGGGCAGCGTAATTTTTCCTCACGCTTACGCCGATTTGGGTCGCAGGCAACTTCACTTTTGTGATGAGAGCGCATGTGATAGACAAGATCGCTTGTCATACGAAAGCTTATGTTACATTTAGCACAAACATTTTGAGCAGTCAAAGAAAATGTCGAAGCAAGCGTCGGTGGTATAAGCGTGGTGAGAATCGCGGCAGCTGCAGGATTTTGAGCTATTCGAGGCAATTCCGGCGGTGTAACAGCAGCGAATGGATGCGTCGAGCCGCTTGGAAATGGAAATGATGGATAGCCGTGAAGAAATTCGGGGGGTGGGCCGCCTGTGTGGGGATTTCCATTTGTGGGCGGTGCAGAAGAGCTACTAGCTGCAAGAGCTGCAGCTGCCGCGGGATTCAGTGGTGAACGATAGAGCAGCTGTTGTTTTAGGCGTTGTGCCTGAAGCATGTGAACATGGCTGACAGACTGAAATGCTCCATTAAATTGATACTCTGGCCGGAAGTTCTGGTATAATATATTTGGGTTGAGACATGGCGCCGAACTGCCGCTACTGCCATTTGACAGGCTTCCATTACCGCCGCTATTAGTACGGGGGGGAGTGGTAGGTATAGGTGGACTCATTGATGAACAGCTCAATTGATCGGGACTTAATGGTGGCGCTGGCTGAACAGGCGATTCCAGCCGCATAGAGCACACCTTAGTGAAAGCGCTCTTTAAAGGCAAGCAGTCAGTCGATTCGGTACCAAGGGGAATTACCAATGACGGGTCATCGTAAATGCGTGGTGAACGGATGCTAATCTGCGGATACCGCCGTGCCTCGTGGATGTTAAAAACCGTTTCTATCGGATCGATAAAGGGCTGTTGTGTTGGTTGCTGTGACTGTCGTTGATGATTTTGCGGCGGCGAATGTTGTATGGTGCGGGGAGATAAATCCGTTGGGTGTTGAAGGTGCTCAGTGCAATCAGAAATACGAGCTTGTTTCTCATTCTGTTTCTGTTTAATTCGCTCGTCAGGCATCATCAGGAAAGCGACATCAAACGAACGTTTTAAGGTGGCTTTTCCATTACTCAAGTTTGTGGTTGTACCTGGAGGTGTAATTTGTATTTCGTTGTTGTTATTATTTTGACTAGATAGCGGGCTATTAGGCCCATTGGGTGGCGTTGAGGAGATACATAAGTCAGCACGCTGTGGCGATGGCACAGGCGGTGAGCCTGGCTGATGCTGAAGATTAAGGTGGTGATTATTATCCATGATCATGTTCATCAGATTTTGTAACTCGTACACACAAACACCAAATGCACTATATTATTAATAATTAATATCTATAATTATTGATTTTGCTTGTGCAGTCCCTTCACTTTATCTCTGCACTTGTTTCAAATACACATTTCCTATTCACTTCTTACAATTTGTTCTATAAATATTTGCATCCGACTATTTCGAAATTCAACAGCAGACTGGTGTTTTAAACAATCTGTTCTTGCTTAAGTAGTAGCCAGTGGCAAGGAGCCATGCCTCTGACTGTGTTCACCACCCCAAAAACTTCCCGCTGTACTTTTGTATTCTCACATTCAATGCAAATCGCCTGGTACTCGCACATCTGTGCAAATTCCACTTTACATTATGTGCCACCATACGGAGTGCCCTAAGAATTCCACCCTCTGTTTGCATCGTGGTCAAAAGCGGCACCCCTTTGCCGTTCACTTTCGTTGTAGAATAGAAACAACAATGCAGTCTCTCTGAGACAATTACTTACCATTCTTATTGCACGAACCCGTTGAATGCTCTAAATTTTGCTTGTTCGAAAATGTACCATCTGTTTTCGAAGTTAGCAAACATATTCTCCGATTTTGTAACTTCAAGAGAATGTACATGGAGAGAGCAGTTTCTCGCCGTTGGTTGGCTGATTTTGTAAATATATGTTTATATAAAATTACGTATGAATATTTGCATGTAATTGGTAACTCAACACACATAGTCTTTTTATAGAGTATGATAACGATAGTAGTTGTAAATTTGTCAATATGTATATACCGCTAACTGCTTCTCATCCTCTCACCAATAGATTAAATTTCTCATTAATATATGTACCTTTGGTCTACAATTTTGATATTGGCTGATTTCTATCAAATAAGGCGATAGTGGATGCTATCACTGAGAGAGATTTATCGTTCGAGTTCGCTCGCAAGGTAAATAGGCCGAAATTACTATGTAGTTTTAATTATTTTTCTAATCTTACTTGTATTAAAATAATAAATTGGTAACTGATCAGATGTCATCATACAATCATAATTCCATAAACTTCTACATTCGTTTAAATAATTTGTTGTTGAGTTACGCAGGAAAATAAGTTAAGCTAATTTCGACTCCAATGACTTTGTTTATATTTATATAATTTATTTTTGGATTTTTTAATCGTCGTAAAAGTGGGTTCAATCCCGTTCGTATTAATTAAGTGGAAAGATTTCAGAAAAACGTGTTAAACAAACCAAGATATTTATGCCGTATAGAGCTTAGATCTAGATCAGAGAAAACATAAGCATAGCTCAACATATCGACAATTTCCATGCATTGGATGCGAACATAATGCTCCATAAGCCGCTCTACTGAATTTGGCCACAATACATACAAAACAAATGCATGACAGTCCGCATGTTGCATGAAAAATGGTTTTAATTCGTTTACTTTATTTCTTTTTTTGTGAGTATGGACGTGTCACTTCCCGATTATACAATGCCACCAAAACCCATGAAATTGCTTCATATACATATATGTATATATATACAAATTTTCAAGACTCTACCTCAAAAGGCCCAAGACATACATATGTATACGCGTGAAAATTTTAGTCTCCTTTTCCAAATTGGGGCGCACCTCTTACATGATTCATACCTTTGGCAGCATTCCGATAGGCCGTTTGAATTTATAAGACTAAATAAAAAAAGAAGACACATTTAACGAATGAAATGGATATATGAAATAATTTTCTTTTTCTAGGACAACAACATTGTATTGTATGATCAATTTCTTGAACAAAAAACAAAAGAAGAGCTTTCTGCAAATTGAATTCATAGAGGTGAGAGGAAAAAACAATTATCACAATTACCGTGTATTTTGCCTTTGCTTTGGGATAGCGGTTGTCAAAATAATGCACAAAGGTTCCAAAAGCCAAAAACGTGGCCAAAACTAGAAAAAATTATTAAATGATTGAGGTCGATGGTTATGAATTCAGATTACTGGAGGTGAAGTACAAAAAAAATTGAGTTTCAATGAAATTTTTTTTTCAGTATTCAATAATACAAATCATAAAATTATTTATTAATTTATTTAAAAATTTGGGCAAGTTGGGACAAATTTTCTTATTTTGAAAGGAAACATAAATCCTACTATACGAGAAAATGTTTCAGAATGGGATGTTGTGAGGCTTTTGTCTTATTTATTTTCTAATTTCTAGGTTTTGGCATATTTAACGTCTTAAAAGCGATATTAAAAATTTTTCATAAACAAATAATTAACAAATTTCAATTTATGTTAACCTACTTGCAGCTGATGATTCCATATCATAAATCTTAAGTTTCTTATAGGAGACATAACAGGTCTCTGTCCCATTCTTATTTATGCCAACTCACAATCAGAAAATCACAATTCTCAACAGAAAAATAAAAAAAAATTGTTTTGCCAATCCTACGTTTAATGAATGAGAAATATACTTGAATTCGTAATCGTGGTGACTTCACCTTGTTAAATTCACCTGGCTTGCTGTTTTCGAAAAAGATGATTTCTAGTTTAATCAATGTGTGCAAAACGACGAGAATCCAAGAATCAAATAGGCAAGATGTCACTGAGATCAGCCCAATATTAGAAGCGTTCTTGCAAATTAGTAGTAAGACATTTGCTTTACGCATCAAGAGTTAAAGAAAAATTACATTGTAATAAAATTTGCCTTAAAGTTATTTTTTTTGCGTGTCTTTTTCAAGTATATGCAGAAAATACATAGTATGTATATTTCTTTTTGTAAAATAGTAATTTTTTGAATATAAATGATTTTTAATAAAATCTACCACATATTCAAGCATTTTTTAACTTTTTTTAAATATGGATATACAATAAGTACTATAATACTGTAGGCAAAAAGCAAGGGGAACTTTTTTGTAAAATTAAAAATCTTTATTTATTCTTCTACATCGATTTCGTCGCCTTCAAAATAGTTCCCTGCCGATGTGATGCACTTATGCAAACGCTTTTTCCAATTATCGCAGCATGTCAAATAGTCACGTTCGCCGATTCGCATTTAATCTCCTCAATTGACTCAAAACGGTGTCCTCGAAGTGGTTTCTTGAGTTTTTGGAAAAGCCAGAAGTCACATGGTGCCAAGTTCGGTAAAGACGGTGGTCGGGAAACGATATTCGTGGAATTTTTAACGAAATGGTCACGGAGAATGAATGCTGTATACGACGGTGCTTTATCGTGAAGCAAAAACCAAAAATTGTTGTCCCATAATTCTGGTTTTTTTTGCGAATTGCTTCCCGCAAACGACACATAACGCAAATTGAAGAAAACAGTCAACATGAACTTGACTTTTGAACGACTTTGAGGTGATTTTTTCGGCATTGCCTCACCTTTAGCACTATATTTTTTGAAGTCTTTGTTCCACTTATACACGTTCTTCTAAGATATGGGCTTTCTGTGGCGTGTTCAACGTTTCAGCAGTCTAAAATTCGTTCCGCAACAAAAATTTGATCGCACTTCTTTGCACAAGTATAACTACAATAGCAATGATGGCATTGACATGAAATTTGGCGTAGATGTCAATAACAGTGCTACCAACATTAAAAAAAAATTAACCCGATATATTAAACGCGTGAAGCTCAAATTAAAAAATCTCAAATTCAAAATTTACTTCTTGCCCATAATTCTGTAATTCTCAAACTGATACAATCAAAAGTTGGCAATATGGGCACTGAAGAGAAAGTTTTATTAAAACCACAGCCAGCCAAGTTCTGACAAGGAGCCCAAAATGCAACTGAAGCAAGACTTAATAGTAAATACCACTTATTTTAGTGTGGTGTGTTTAATGGAAACGACCAGGACCCTGTTTTTTTTTAAATATTTGGTTTTATTTGATGAAATTCATATCGGTGAATGTCTAAATATGTAATGAACAAATGAGATATCATCACTTTCGATTATAATATCTTATATTTCCGGATTTGCAGAGCCGATCCTTGATTATAAGAAGTAATAGATATCGGATTGGTTAAGATAAAATTATGTGATAGTTTTTCTAAAATCTTGTATCTACTGTAAATAAAATGCTATTCTTTAATATTACACACAGTTTAGCATTGATATCTGGGCCCCTCTTTCCATCCACAACCTCCAAGGTATTACAATTGAATCCATCAATACAACATTTTGTGCAGCCCAATTCATTGTTAAGCCTTACATATGTATTTAAGCATAAGCAGTATAACGAATAAAAACTCTTTTCAAAAAATTCTAGGTAAATAGTGGGCCAGGATTTGTTCTCGTGCAAATACACATGCATACATTCATGCATATATCCCAATGCAATGTGTGAGTTCTCAATGGGCGGAGTTTAACGCTCAGTTGCCATAGCGTATTTAAACTCTCCCTTTCTCGTACAACCCTCTTACTCTCATGTAATGCGATTTTTCGAACTTCAGCCGTGCTCACACTTCTGTCGATGTGTAGTGGCTGTGTACGCTCGAAACAATGAGGGCTGCCTTATTGCAAGTGTTTGTAAACAGGTTGTTTTTGTTGATTTTTTCATTGCATGGTCTTAAAACTTCTCTGCCTGCCATTACTGCTTGGGTTTGTGATAAGGTAATGCAGCTCTTTTGTTAGTTTTGTTGGTCGATGATCATATTGTGACGTTGGTTCTCACATCCTGTTAAATTGCTTATGCGCCAAGCTTTGCGCCCATCTGCTGTCCCAGCCCACATGCAACAATTTATCTTTGCTACGATAGTTGGCATATAGTCCTGTTGCAGCGCACACATATACAGAATTATCCTAACAAATATGTCTGGGAAAATGAATATATATATATATATATGTATATATATATATATATATATATATGTATATTTATTTATATAAGAACGCATCGCGTAAGCAGTATATAAAAAACGAGTACCATTCTGCCGGTGGTGTATGAGAAGAACATCTCGGTGGTGGATCACAGCTTCTCTTTTACTTCAACGCCGCGCTGTGGAGCTGTCAGTTATTGTTGT